TATGAAAATAAATGCACCCAGAAAATTTAATGTTGAGTGAAATGAACTAGACACACAAGTTTAAAAACCATATAGTATCTCTCATTTGAGTAAGGCAAAGTACAAGAGAATAATAAAAATGGGTAGCATCGAACAAAAAGATGCAGTAGGTAAGTGGTCCAAAAAGAAGAGGAAGGGAAAATATGTAAATATATGTAAACATTATATGCCATAACATGAGTGTTGTGGCTTATTTAAATGTCCCCCCAAAGCCTCATGCAATCATGGAGGCAGCTGAATCTAGCATTTGTGATTGGTTCTAGCACTGGGATTGGTGGTGTGAGTGCTGCTCCTGCTAATGGACAGGTAGCCAGCGTACAGTATAAGGGGGGAAAGGAGGTGTGCTTTTCCCCTTTCTGCCCTTTTCCACTCTTGTTGCTTGTGGCTGCCATGAACATTTGCCCCTTAGCCATGCCATCCTGCCTTGGAGCCAGTTGAGCACAGACTGAAACCTTCAAAAAACGGTCAGCTTAATAAACCTTCCCTTCCTTCATTTTGAGTGTCAGGTATTTTGTCTCAGCAATGAGAGAACAGTAACAAGACGATGAGCTAAGATTAATAATATCAATGAGTGAAAAATGGGATAGGAGAATTGAAGGGGGAGGAAGAGGAGAGGAAAGGAATTAAAAAGAAACAAGTTGCAGTATGTACATATAACCACTCCTCAGGATGAACTGCAAACATGTATCATTAACAAACAAACAAATAAAAACACCATGAAACTGTAAACAGCCAATGTTATTGCCTGATTTTCTTCAGGGTAGCAAAGTAAGATAGAAACAGTTTAAGAATTATACAATCTATGCTCATTCTTACTACATAATATATAATTATTTATTCCTATTATTCTGTTGGTAGATCAGGATTTTTAGTGACTTATCAGGAGAGAAATGAGTAAAATCCACCAATTATTCTCTTAATTCACAATACCTTGTTCAATGAAACAAAACCATTAAGATATAACCATGTCATCTTTATGTGTTTAGGTAATTACAGGCCAGTGAATTAAATCCTCTTGTTACATGTCAGTTTCACACATTGTGATATTTTGAAAGTTCTTCTTCCTCACAGTGACACTGAGATTTTTCTATTACTAGATTCCATACTAGGAACTGATATACATAATATGAGATATATTGTCACAATGAGAAAAAGAAATCCAAATAAAAATCAAATTAAAAGTCAAATACAAAGACTAACGCAATACTTCTACAACTGAAAAATATCAAAACTCGGAAAAAAGAAAAATGTAAAACTCTGTATGAAAATACAAAATCTACTGAAATTAAAATGGTGTACCATGCTCATAGGTTGTGTTTCAACATTGCTAAGATGTCTATTTGTTCACATTTATGTACATATTTGATGTAATGCTAGTTAAAATGACTTTTGAGGGGTGTACGGGATACTTACATGCCAATGACCCCTGCCCCGATGCTCTCCTTCCAGGCCTGAGGCTCCATCTCTCACTCAGGGAACTTCTCTACCTGGAGGTCTCCTGGTTATAGGGTCCACCTTGTGTGAATGCATTCTCAGGTACAGTTCTCACTCCTCTGTTTCATGACATGCTTGCATACAGAAAACTTTAATGATGCCACTAAAAATCTAACACTATGCACTAAAGTAAAAGTGGATCAAAGATCTGAATATTAAAACAGAAGCACTAACTCTATTGGGAGAGAAATGTAGAGTTCTTGAAGACATAGGTATAGGCAGAGACTTCATGGACAAAACCCAAACTGCATGGGAAATACTTCAAACAATCAAAACTGGATCTCATCTTATTAAAAAGCTTTTGCACATCAAAAGAAATCATTAACAGAGTGAAAAGACAACACAGAGTAGGAAAAAGTTTTAGACAATTGTTCCTCAGACAAAGGACTTCCACCTAGAACATATAAAGAACTAAAAAAAATCAGACCTCTCAAATTCAAAGATCCAGTCCAAAATTGGGCTTCATAGATGAGTATGTACTTCTTTAGATGAAATACAAATGGCAAATAAATATATAAAAATGTTCTACATTCTTTATCATGCAAGAGATGCAAATTATAACAATATTGAATTTCTATCTCACGCCAGAAAGAATGGCTATCATCAAAAAACTAACCAATAATTAATGCTGAAGGGGACATGGGGGTAAAAGAAACCCTTCTTTACTGTTGGTGGGAGTGTAGAGTGGTGCAACCACTGTGGAAATCAGTGTGGAGACTCCTCAAAAAACTAGGGTTAAAGGTCCCATTTGACCCAGCTATTCACCTTCTGGATATTTTCCCAGAATGCAAAGCATCATACCACCATGATACTTGTGCCTCCATGTTTCTAGCAGCACAATTTGTAGTAGCTAAATCTTGAAAACAATCCAAATGCCCATCAACTGAGGAATGGATAAAAATGATTTGGCACGTTTATAATGGAGTAGTATCCAGCTTTAAAGGATAAACTGGAAACATTTGTAGGTAAATGGATGCAACTTGAGACCATACCCATAAGTGAAATAAATCAGAATTGCATGTGTAAATATCATATTGTCTCCCTAGTGTAAGAAGTTCAAAATAACCAAAATGTACAACAGATACTAGGCAATGGGAAGAAGTTGTTCAAAAGGAGAGAAAAACTGGGATGGGGAAAGGAGAAAAGGGAAAAGAAAAATAAATAAAATATATGATATTTAATAGTCAATACTACTAATTTGTTAGTTCATTGAAAAGGTTTGTTTATATTGTTTGATCAATTTTTCATACCTATATCTTGTAATCTGAGCAACTACTTCGTAGATCACAATATGCACTGTCTTAACCATTATCTTGTTTTGAAATTTTGTATTTTTATTGCTTTTTCTCTTTAAAATAAAAAAGAATAGATTTCTTAAACTGCAGTATTAGAGAAAAATTATTAAAAATTAAGAACTGCGACGTGTCCAGGGGAGAGAACCAAGCCAGCCCATTCTTGTGAGCCAGTGGCAGGCATGGACTGGGTCAGTCCCTTCAGTTGAGCCAGCTGGTACACTGGCTGGGTGACAAGAAGTGCCAAGCCTCCCCAGCTCCTCCCTGTAACTGGCTGATTTGGAGAAATACAAGATGCGATGATAGCCACTGACATAAAAAAGAAATTAATACCCATATTGTTTAACGGAACTTGCAGGCCTCAAGGTGGTGGTCTGAGCATTTGTTAGGGGGATAATGATATACAATATAGCAACTATGGGGGATTTCTTTCTGAAGGTGCTAGCTGTTGTGGATTATTATCTTGTTTTGAAGTCTGCATCACTTTCATGCTTTTGTTTTGACTGGTTTTATTCTGTTGTTTTATTACATCTGATGGTGTGGGAAGCTATTCTGAAGAAGATGCAATATTGGAGCCATTTTTGATTGCCTATTACCTTGTTTTGAAATTCCATATCACTTTCATGGTTTTGTTTTGACATTATTCTGTCTTAATTTGATTTTACTGTCTTTAAAATAAAATAAAAAATATTAAAATTAAGAACTGCCTTTCTGTTCAAAGGGCATTGCTTAGAGAGTGATAAAGCTATAGGTAAGATGATGTTATTTGTAATTCACCTACCTAAAGATTCAACATCTCTGAATGTCATATCCAATAAACAAAAGTAAGTTTCCAATAAAATAATCAGGCCAAGTTCTTGGATATTCTCAAAGACATTTAAAAAGTTCATAAATATTTAAAAGAGAGTTCAACACCATTAAGAAATGCAAATCCTACCCATAATAAGATATCAGTAGACACTAGAATTAGGCCATTGTATCACCCACGCAATGATTTGTGTTATTGGGAGGTGGTAGAACCTTTTACAAGTTCTTAGGTCATTAGATAAGTGCCCATGGAAGAGACCATGTACTCTTTTTTCCTCTTTTCCCTGCTTCATGATATGAGTTTGCTCTACCATAGATTCCTACGATGTGCCGTGCTATTCACCCAACTCAACAAGGACAATTGCTCACTGGCTGGAACCTCCGATCTTTGAGCTGAATCAGTCTTTTCTCTATGTAAGTTCATTATTTCAGGTTTGTTTTTAACAGCAACAAGAAGCTGACTAGCACAGTGACTGCCCCTTTAACAACTAAACTGCTCAAGTCAAGGTGCCTATGTTATCTCTAACCACAACGAATACTTGGTTATTATGTCAGCTGAAGCTGTGCGACTTCCCTTGAGATGTTTTGTTGCTAAGGCAGGGTTGAGAGACAAGGATAGTATTTCAAGGTCTGACACTCAAATGTTTCAGTTGAAAAGTGCTATATTAACTATATTCAAAAATAAATCACTAAAAATTCAACGAGATATGGTCACTTTTAACCACAAGGTGAAAATTATTCAATTATAGTGGAAAACACCCATCTAATAACCCCATCCTAGTATTAAATACTTCTCCTGGCACTGTCAGAGAGGTCACTTGGTCTTCTTTGCCATTCAATGAAGGGTAGCCATTATGTGTTGATCTGTTAGCTTTTCAGGTTTGTGAGAGTATTTCAATATGAGGGCCATAGCCTCTGGGTTCTCATTTTGACTCTAGACCTCTCTAAGCCTTTCCACAACTTCCAAACCTTATGGACTTGGGAATTCCTGTCCACTTCTCTTTCTACTTTTTCTCTACACAGATCCACCTGACAGCACATCTTATTTTGCCAATCTGACCTTTCTTTAGTACCATGTTGAAAGTAAGAAGTACTTTTAAGGCCTGTGATCTTTTGGTCACAAAATTTTTGGACATAAATTCCAGATATTATAGACATATTTCATCTGGAACTCCCATCTCCACATTCAGATGAAACATGGGTTGGGAGAAATAAGGTGCTGAATAATTTCTTTGGATTCTATATAATATCAGAACCAGTTCCCATGCCCTCAAATCCATGCACATCTTTCCTGGAACAATGCATACCTAGTATCTAAAGTCAGTCCTGACAAATAGTAGGTGTTCAATAAATTAGCTTCACAAGAAAAAGATTTTTCCTTTTTATGTAAATATTACATGCACATTGTAGAGAACAGCAAAGTTCAACAATATCCAATCATCTACCATCACTAACTTCTTGAAGAACATTCATTCTCTGAAATGTTCACATAAATACATATTACATATACAGTTTTATACCATACATGCTACATTTACATATTTCTATTTTTAAAGTCTCTTTCCTCTAATCTCATGTTTTCTTTTTTCGTTCACCTCAAGGCAACCAATACTGATAGCCTGGTACACCTTCTTCTATGCCTGTCCTTATGTACATGTAATCACACAAACACACATATACACAATACACATAACACTTACTTTAACAAAAATGAAATTTTTATCTATATACATCTGTTATAAAGTGATAATTTTATCAAATATTTTGACAAATCTTTAAGTCAATTAGTATAAGTCATTTTAAAAATTCTCAAGCTATTCTAAAATACTGGATAACATAATTTATTCAAACAATTCCCTATTAATTGACACTTAGTTTCCTACATACAAAATGAATAATCCAACAAAAAATCCTTATTTATCTGTATTTTTTTGCATTGATGATGCTTTTATTTTATGACATTTTTATTTTATGAGAATTTTGGATCAAACAACATTTAAGACAGTATATATTGCTGGACTGCTTGTGGGAAAATTAGTTACACAATCTTTAAGTTTAGAGCACATGGTTACCAAACCCCCCAGGAAAGAAGAGACTGATTTCTTTCAATCCACATGAAATGAAAGTTTGATCTCATTAGTAGTTTAAATTTGCATTTCCCTGAGTAGAATTTAGGTTTAAATTTGAATAGGTTAATGGTCATTTAGAGTACCTTTTCTGTGAAGAACAATTCAGTCCAGATGGATTAAAAACCTAAAAGTAAAAAATAACCAAAATCTTCCAAAATAAATATATATTTTAATCCCAGAGATTAAAGATATGTCTTTTAATTAAAAAAGTAAAGAACCTAACAAGATATATTTTAGTATAAAAATTTAAATGTTGTGACTAATATATAAAAATATATAGGCTAGATTAAGAAAAAAATTTATCATATACACGATAAAGGCTTGATGTCAAAAAATATAAATAAAAGCACCTCCAAATTTACTTATTTAGAGACAGGGTCTTGTGATGTAGTTCAGGTTGGCCTTGGGCTCACTTTGTAGCCCAGGCTGGTCTTGAATTTGCAACAATCATCCTGCCTCACCCTCTTGAATGCTGAGATTACAGGAGGGTGCCACCATGCCCTGGCACACCTCTCTCTATATAAGAAAAGGCAGTCAAACAAAAACTGACAAATATATGTATGGGCAATTAATTTTAGATATGTTGAATGAGTATGACATCCAGGTGAAAGTTTTCATCTGTAGATATTTCTTTAGTGTGAAGTATCCTGTAATTTTGAAATATAACTAAATGATTTTCCACATTTATTATAGTATCTCTTACATGTACATTTTCCAGTGCATTTTTAGTGAAGACTTTCCTAAACTTATAAAACTTAGCTTAGAGGAGTCTTCTCACAGAGTTGATACTTGAGTGAATGACTTGCTGCTCTCTATAGTAACTGAGTGTCTCTCTGATGTACTCTTTGATGTACAGTAAGGCTTGAGCTACTCCTAAAGCCTTTTTCACATTCGTTACATTTATAGGGTTTTTCTCCAGTATGCATTCTCAGGTGTACAGTGAAGTCTGAGTTAGTTCTGAAGGCTTTTCCACATTCTTCACATTTATAGGGCCTTTCTCCAGTATGGATTCTCTGATGTAGAGTTAGCTGTGATACGGTAATACAACCTTTTCCACATTCCTTACAGGTATAAGGCTTTTCTCCAGTATGTGTTCTCCAGTGTACAGTGAGGTATGAACCTCTCCTGAAGGCTTTCCCACAGATGTCACATTTATAGGGTTTTTCTCCACTATGAATTTTCTGATGTTCTGTGACATGCACCATCTGGCTAAATGCTTTCCCACACTCATTACATTTGAATGGTTTCTCACCAGTATGTGTTCGCTGGTGGGTATTGAAGCCAGAGTTACTTGTAAAAACCTTCCCACACTCATTACACTTGTAGGGTTTCTCTCCTGTGTGCCTTCTTTGATGCACAGTGAGCTGTGATGTATTAGTAAAAGCTTTCTCACATTCCTTACACTTATATGGTTTTTCTCCAGTATGTGTCCTCTGATGCACAATAAGGTATGACTTAGTCCTAAAGGACTTCCCACAGTCGTGACATGTATAGGGTTTTACTCCAGTATGAATTTTCTGATGCTCCTTGAGATTTACCATTTTAGTGAATGCTTTTGCACAATCAGCACACTTATAGGGTTTCTCCCCAGTATGGATCCTTTGATGTACAGTTAAGTGTGATTTTATTCTGAAGGATTCCCCACATTCATTACATAAATAAGGTTTCTCTTCAGTGTGAATTCGCTGATGTATGATCAGAGACGAAGAACGCATGAAGGCTTTTCCGCATTCATTACATTTATAGGGTTTCTCTCCTGTATGCACTCTGTGGTGTACGGTAAGGCATGAATAGTTAATAAATGCTTTTCCACACTCATTACATTTATAGGGTTTCTCTCCTGTATGAATTCTCTGATGTTCAGTGAAGTTTGCTATGCGGTTGAATGCTTTCCCACATTCACTGCATTCATAGGGTTTTTCTCCTGTATGAGTTCTGATATGCACAATAAGGCTTGAATTACTTCTGTAGGCTTTCCCACATTCCTTACATCTAAAGGGTTTCTCTCCAGTATGAATCCTCTGATGAACATTAAAAATTGTGGTATTCTTGAAAGATTTCCCACACTCGTTGCATTTGTATGGTTTCTCTTCAGTATGAGTCTTCTGATGTACACTAAGATATGATTTATTCCTAAAGGCTTTTCCACAATCATTACATTTGTAAGGCTTCTCACCATTATGCGTTTCCTGATGTCTTGCAAGTTTTGATTTATCACTAAAAGCTTTCCCACATTTACTACATCCATAGGGTTTTTCTCCAGTTTGAACTCGCTGGTGCTGATTAAGGCGGGCACACTGACTAAAGGATTTTCCACAGACATTGCACTGATAAGGCTTTTCCTTAGTATGAATTCTCTGATGTACCATAAGTGATGAAGAAGCAATGAAGGCTTTTCCACATTCGTTACATTTATAGGGTTTTTCTCCTGTGTGAATTTTTTTATGCTGACTAAGATAAGAAGGCTGGCTGAATGTCTTCCCACATTCATTACATTCATAAGGTTTTTCTTTAGTGTGAGTTCTCTGATGCTGAATGAGTAATGACCTATAACGAAAGGCCTTTTCACACGTACTACATTTATAGGGTTTTTCTTTATCTCTCGATGTTTTTCCAGAAGTAAGTTCTGAAATGTGTCTTAGCGTTTTGTTACCTTTTGTATTCTTACAAACTGTCTTTCCCAAATGAGCGTCTGCAATCAAATCTAAATTCTCTGTCAAGCTTTCTTCACATATTTGGCATTTTCCATGAGAGTCTTCTGTAATAATTACTGGTTCTGGAAAAAGAGCAGATCCAAATCTGAAGCCTCTTTGAGTGGAGGGAGTCTTCTTGTGTGTTACGATTCTTTGACTCAAGTGACTCTCCTGAGTATTTTGCCATCTCAAAATTCTTCCACTCCACTTCCACAATCCTTCCATTGGGGAATCCCATAGACTGTTCTCTCTGAGATTCTCTACTATAATCTCCTGTGATAAATCTTCAAAAACACCCTCTGTTAACACAGCATTCTTGGTTGTAGATTTGGTCTTCAAGTCTAGAGGGAAAAAAGAGGGAAAAAAAATAACTCCTATATCCTAAACTGGAGAATTCTCAGTAAATATGACAATAAAAATGAAAAATGAGTATTTAGTTTTAACTGCCTGCCAACTGGCCTTATTTTCCAGGTAGGATTAAGGGACAGTGGTTGAACAAAGAACAAAAGTAGAAAATTTAAAGAGATTGTTCTCTGTTACAAAATCATTCAAAACCCACTTTGCATGCTATGCTTCTCTAATAATTTTTCTTTCTCCTTCACTTTATAGCCAGTTTCTATATAACGCATTCTTCGTAAGTTGACACTATTCCTTTTGTGTCGTTTATTTCACAAATCATCTATTTATTCCATACTTTCTTTATATTTGTTCTCATTCTTGCTCTAATGGCTTTTTCAAAATCCCCCAGCATAGTAGTTCCCTGGAAAAGTAGTTTATTCAGGTATATTTATATACTGCTCCATTTGGCAGTGTTGGAGATTATACCCAGGACTTCTGCACCAAACCATACTCCTATCACATTGTTCTTTTATTTTGAGATAGTGTCTTGCTAAATGGCTCAGATTAGGCTACAACTTGCAATTCTCCTGCCTCAGTTTCCTAGAGTGCTGTGATTATAGCCATACACCACCATCCCCACATTTTATATAACTTTATGAATAAATACAATGATTTTCAAAAAGTGAATTGAATGAATGAGTAAAAAACCTGATTGTGGGCAGTTACTGACCTTTCAAATAGTGGACATTCTAAGGTTTGGCAATGATTTTATTGGTTCTAAGAACATTTCTGATGATTTACCAATAATTCATTTAAAAATTCTAGTGTTGGGTATGGTCTTATAACTTGTTTGTACAGACAATTTAATATTTTTAAAAGTTATATAATTTTTAAAACTTATAACAAATTTTCAAGTAATTATGACTGAATATTTAAAAATAAATTGGATCAAAACCTCTTGTAGTTCAATGACTTTTATGACTTTATAACTTGTATTTAAGAGCCAGGTATGATGGTGCATTCTGTAATCCCATCACACAGGAGAGTGAGGCAGGGGGATTGCCTGGGCCACAAAAAGAAATTGTGTCTCAACAAACAAACAAACAGAAAGAGAAAAAAAAACTTTTATTTAAGCAATAAATTGTTATTACTTTTATATAATTTAAATAAACTTTATGATGCTATTCTTAATCTTTCTTTTCATATAAATTTCAAATCTTTTAAATATTTTGAGCATAACTTTCATTGTCCTAAGACATTATATTGCCAATATCTTATGGGGAATATTGCTATCAGAATAAAAGCTAAAGAAAACACCAGTTTGGGATATAAGAACTAATTAATTTAAAATGTCAAAAGGAAACACACTTGGAAAAGGAGATATATTTGATATAAAATGCTACAAAATTCTAAAAGCTTTAGGTGCAGAATCGTAACTACTGGGCTGGGAATATAGCTCAGCAGCACAAATGCCTGCCTGGGAAGCGCAAGGTTCAGAGTTCAAGTTCCAGTAAATTGCTCCCCTCAAAAGAAATACGACCATTTTATTAACTAGCAATTAGAAGTTTTTGTTAATAAATATATTTGCAGAGACTTCATTAATATATGTAAGCTAACTTCTCATCTTCCTTTACAGTAAAATATCACTTGCAAACAAACAAACAAAAAAAAAACCCAAAAAACAGGAAAATAATCTTGCATATGTTACAGAATTGCTCTTTTGTAATGTCAGACTGAGTAATTTGGCCTAACATGGTTACTGAGAACATTTAGAAGAGTTGGACAAAATATAGCTACAAAATCTTTTTGAAAGTATCTGAAAGCTACCAAGACTTAAAGAATTACAAGAATGAAATCCAAAAAGAACCTAGTATTTGATGTTCTTTCCTTCTACAGATAACTCTTAGCTGCCCAAGAAGTGGCTGAGAAATTAAATATATAAACCAAACTTTCAATGGACTCCTGAGCCAAGACAGACATAGTAAATTTCTGGCCACCAAAGTGGAAAATCCTGGAACCTCTACGGTTTGGCTAGAACTTAAGATGATAAATCCTGAGTATAGGATGATTAAGAAGTACCCCCAACTTCCTCAAGGAATAAAACCCAGCTCATTTAAATTCACAATTTAATTAACATGAGTGAGATATATTAGAACCCCTAGTTAATCCTAGGAGATTAACCTTAATCCTCTATGAGAAAACTACACAATCCAGGACCTCAAGTTTACATGGGTTTCACTGCCAATGCTTGACAAGAAAAAATAACAGATATACACAAGAGAAAAGCAGGGAGAGAAAGAGTCAGGAGAGTAAAAGGAAAAGATCTAAAAAGGATCCAGATAATGGACACCACAGACATTTAGTTTAAAACAGCCATGGTAACTATACTTAAGAAAAAATAAGAAGAGTTCCATCAAAGAATTAGGAGGGTAAAATAAGAACAAAATGGAAACTGCAGAATGAGAACTAAATTAAGAACTCAAAGTTTGGGCTAAGAGTACAGGAGATATTGGCATATAAGAGTTAACAAAATAGAAGTCAGTAGAAAATATTCATATCAAAGCATACAATGTTAAAAACCACTTAAAAAGCATAACAGACAAACAATATAGAATGAAAGTATATGTTATAGATGTATGTAATCAGAGTCCTAGGAAGCTCAGAAGAGAAGTAAAAATGAGAATTTGATGAAATAGTGCCTAAGAATTTTCCAAAACGGATTAAAAAATCAAGTCACAAATTTTAGAAGCAAATGAACTTCTAGTATGAGAAATAAAAAGATTACTACATTAAAGCACATAGTAAAATTGCAGAAGACCAAATTAAAAGTAGTCACAGGGAAAAAGATTTCAGTGAAGGAGTAACAATTAGAGATTATAAACTACAATCAAATCTAGCCTACTATTTTTATATAATTTTTACATTTTAAAATGATTAAAATATATCAAAACATGCTGCAACATTATCGACACTGTATGAAATGTAATTTAGTTTTCCACAGGTAAATGTTAGTGGAACACAACCACAGGCATTTGTTCAGGCATTACCTGGGGACGCCTCGGGCTACCACGGCAGAATAGAATCCTTGCAACAAAGAGTCCTCAGCCCTACTACTATACTTTAGGTCTTCAACGTCTTCCAAAGGCCATCGTTGAAGGCTTTGTTTCAGACCCCTGTTTCAAACTGGGAGATAGTGGAAGATTAGCAGATGGGGCCTGCAGGAAGGAATTTAGGTCCCTGGGTGCATGTCCTTAATGATAAATGTTTTTTCTCTTTGTTTCCTGGCCACCATGAGGTAAACAGTTTCTTTGATATATGTTCTTATCCTATCATAAGGTATAGCCTTGCCACAGGCCCAAAAGCAATGGCTAAACCAACAATATAGAAGTATCCAAAACGATGAGCTAAAAATGAACCTTTCCTCTTTTTAAACTGATTTATCTCAAGCATTTATTAGTGATGTATGATAACTTACATACCCACAGAGATAAAATATTTTCCACCTTCCCTTTATATATGAAATTTACTAATTCCTCAGTCAGATAGATGACTGACTCCACCACAGATCCAATGCCAGACAAAAATGATGGAAGGATTCTTTCACAATGCTGAATGAAGACAATTGCCAACCTAGAATTCTAAAGTTACAAAATTAACCTTCAAAAAGGAAGGCTAAAAGGGATGTATAGCATAAAATGACACCAACAAATCTGAATGAGAGTAAGTACTCAAGAACATACTTTAGGCAAAAGAAAAGCAATCTCAAATACAAGCTCAAAAATGAATAAAAAGTTAACAGAAAAGTAAAAATGTGAGTAAATTTAAATGAATAGTGACTGCATAGAACAATAATAATGTCTTGTGTGGTTTGGCATATATAGTATTAAAAAACGTAATCCTCAAAAATGTATTGACATTAAATAGGATAATATTCTATGCTCCTTGTGTGGTTTGAGAAGATGGAAAAACTTACAGTAGACTGCTAAATAAAGGAAGCATGCTTTAGTTTCAGGGTTAACCACTACACTGATTGATTAGAAGTGGTAAAAAGAGTAAATTATGATAAATCTAAAAGAAGGAATAAATAGGAAGAAAACACAGAACAAATAAAACATTTCCACAGTTAGATGGCAGAGGTAAACATTATGAAAAGTATTATATACAGATGGACAAAACATTCCAAAAGATGTGAACTGTCAGGCTAATTAAAAACAGTGAATGTTATGTGTCTTATTAAAAAAAACCACACAAAGGGGCAGGGATTTAGCTCAGTGGCATATGCGCCTGCCTGCCAAGCGTGAGGTCATGAGTTTGATCCCTGTATAAAAAAGAAACATATAAAATATAAGGATATATAAAAAGTAAAAAAGAGGACTAAAGATACATGACACCAACAATAATCAGAAAAATGATGTTTAAATAGTATAAGTATCAGGCATTAGAACACCTAAAGGCAAAAACAATACTTCATAATGACAAAAGGTCCAATTTACCAAAAAGATATACGGCTCTAACTATATATTCACCTAATCCTACGAATTCAAAATATATAAAACAAAAATCAGATGAACTAAAATTTTTATGTCTTATTGGGAGATTTAAAAAGTCTCAACAGCTGACACAGTAAGTTGTGAGTATACAGGCCTTAGCAACACATTTAACAAACTTGACTTCTTGAAATATGTAGACCACTGTATCAAAGACCTATACATGATATGCTTTTTCCAAGTGCATACAATGTTTGTGAAAATTTTCCCTGTGGCAAATAAATTTTAGGAAACTCATAAACTAAAATAATTTATAGCACATCCTTTGACCACAGGAGAACTAAAGATAAAACACTAGAAAACTGCTATGTGGTACAAAATTTTAAAACTTCAAATAACACAACAGTCAAAGACATCACGATACTCTGAACTCAGAAATTATGATGCTGCTGCATAAAAGTGTCATATAGTTCAGATAGGGCCTAAATACATTATTAGAATAAAGGAGTGACTGA